AAAGTTTTCCGCAATAGTTGGCGGTGATGGCACACGTTGTTTATCCCAAACAAATACATATCGTTTTCCATCAGTACTATTCATTGAATAACCCGAAGACAAATGAAAACCCGTACATTCAATACTATATTTAGAACATTTATCAATAAATTTCTTTAGCATATCTTGGGCATTGGCTGCATCAGTATATTTCATCGCTGAACCCAAATATCCCAATGTCCATTTAGGTGCTAACGGACAATGTCCAGTTAGTTTTGTATATTGCTCAATTACATGTTCAATTAGAGGTCCGTTGATAAAGTAATAATCTAAATCCGGGTCTTTACTCTCAAAATATACCATATCACCAAAGTAATTATCGATTTCACAACCGAAATCAAATGTACAATCATATGTTGTATCATAAAATAAACCGAATGCATGATCATGTCGTAATGTTATGTAGAATGGAATATGTTTATAGAGTGGATCACTATGTTCAGCATTGTAGCCCATGGCATCCATGTTTCGCATCCGATATCGACGAGATTTTTTATCGATTGGACCACTTTTCTCACCTAAACCATAATAATGATAATGATCATCCGTCGATGGTCGAGAAAGTGTATGACGAAATTGCTGTGTGGAAGTTGAATACTGATAACTACAAACAGGATTGTCTTGTAGAAGAATTTCATGATTTGTCATCCATACGATTGCAAATGGTTTATGTAAATGAATTTTACATGTAATCGTATCAGTGGATATCCATAGTTCATTTTCATGTTCAATCGCAGTGAAATTACAAGTATCATTACTATAGTTATTTCGTGAAATTTCATGACGGAGGCGGCCTTCATAAGGAACGTCATTTGTTTCTTTATCAACGATAGCCCATGTGCGTGCTGTCACTGGTTCGCCCTTTGGCCAAACTCGGACGCGAATAAGATTATGAGTCAAAACACTGATTATATATTTTGTTAATTGATTTTCTTGAGATATAATTATAATTTGATTTGCTTTATCGTGTATCCACTTCAGTGATACTCGTTCAATGGAATCTTCAAAAAACATAATCTAGAAAGAAAGAAAGAAAGCAAGAAAGAAGTCAATCACAAGTGCAGAAAACGTAGCAATAAAACTGAAATATCAAATCTAATCATCAGGATATCGTGTTCCGTTGATTGTCCATGACATTGGTGTAAATATTTTCACCAAAGCTTGTACACGCTTCAAATGTGCTTCTTCGAGCATATCAGCAGTCTTTGACAGCTTGTTTTGTACCGCATATGCTCCAATTACACCTGCCGCTTGTCCAATAGAGAATTCTACTGGATGTAGACGAGTTGCTGAATTCACTAAAAATGACTGTGCCATAGTCTTACCAATCACAATCAAATTATCTATATCACGATTTGTCATGGCTCGTAAAGGCACATAGTACGGTAAAATAGGATAGTATTTGTTCATATACGATGGATAAGTACATTGTTGCATAGGATGTACATCGACGTCATAAGCACCAATACATAGACGATCCTCGAAAATATATCCATGTAAATCACGTGCATGTCCACTTATAGTTGTGATGTTCATAAGAAAATCTCCAAATCCAATTGATCGACGTGATTCTCTTAGATATGGCATTTTTGCGAGACCATGACATGTACCAGCCGCAGGAACCGAACGTACAAGTACAGTTCGATTAGCCCATTGTGCGGGAGAATTCTTTCGATACCAATAATGATATCCATAAGCTTGTCGTTCTGCATTCTGAATGGCATCTAAATTAACTCCACCTTGCCACTGATTTGTATCTCGTTGATGCTGTGCATCCGATAAAGAAAGAAAAAAGAATTCTTTTCGATAATCATTTCCACCCGCCCAATTTTGTATTGTTATATCATTAACAGCAACAGTATCTGCATTGGGTGCAGATGTGTTTACTCGTCTATATGTCCATACACGCTCCCATGTTAAAGATTGAAATGTGTAATTGACTCCTCCAGTTGGTTCAGGCAATGGATTTGGTGGTTCATCAACAGGTGTCTCTCGTAGTTGTTGAAGAAAATCGAATGTAAACGATTGACCACATGTCGAATCACCAACACCTGATGTATCACCATCGAAACGTTCCATCAAACCCTGTAGATAACTTGCATTCGACAACACTAACACTTCACCCCATGAACTACCTTCCATAACATATACCATGTTTGTAAATAATAATTGTGTCTTTGTAAACCACGCACTGTCTATTGGTGAGTACCAATCGGGCAATTCTTCTGATAAAAATCGACAACGTTCGGTTGATGATTGTATTGATGTACGTTGAATGGCTTCAATTTGAAGAATTCGACGACCACTTGCATCTTTATTGATACGTTTAATGACTGTGTTGTAAAATATACGAGTATTATTCAATTCTGGCACGATTGCTTCTGAATGAAACAAATTTGGAATTGAACATTTTGGCGATACCCAACATCGACCTGTATCGCCTAGAACGGCAAGCATTTTGGCAAAGAGAAGATTTTGATTATTCATTTGTCGATCAATCGAACCAACATTCAAAGTATAATTTGTATCCTTATCTTTTACTGTATGAAACGCAAAATCTGGTGCACTCAATAATTCAGCCGATAATTGTCCGCCAATCCAATCTGTTGGTTCCAGTACACATACGTTTCCTTTTAAAAACTTCGAAGCTGTTATTATTGCTCCTAGAGCAGATGTTGTTCCACCAACGATTAATAATTGACAATCATCAATCGTACGAATTGAAGAATCGATCGAGTGAATAAGACCCACAATTAAAAGAATATGCAGAAGCATTTCTATCTAAGACAAAAACAACTAAATTGATTTTTTAATCATTGACATTCATCAATGTTTATTTATCTATCACTAAGATTCAAGTACTAATAAAGACAAAAAGTTGATCGATAGCAAGAGAATAGTATTATTCACTACATATACGAATTTCTCTCCAAATCTTCCTTCAGATTCTGTGTAAATAAATGTAAATGATTTGTCAACAGAATATTTTCTTCTATTATTGATAAAATGTACTTATTTATGGAGTCTAAGTACTATAAATAACTTCCTAGAACAGTCGCGACTTTTATTGTACTACTTACCTTTTAGTTTCATTGAGTGTGACAGATAAACTTAATTATATCATATAGATTTACAAAATACTTCGACAAGAAGATCTTTTGAGTAAATTTGTTGAATTTAACGAAATTGAAGATGTCGAATGGAAATATTCATTTCCGATAAAATTAGATGGTATATAACAATTTGAAAGAGATATTCGTTTTCAAGGAGAATAAAGGAAATATGTAAAGAAAAAATGTAACGGTTATCTACTGGTTGTTGGGTTTGTGAATAAAAAGTGTTTATGTAAAAGAGAAAGTTGTATGAAATAAAAATATTCACTAAATGATAACAAATAGATAAAAAGAAACATTTCGTGTATTCATAATTATCTTTCATGTTGTGTCTTGTTTTTCTGTTGAATAAAATGAAAGCACAAAAGTAAAGTACGTACATTCACATCTTTCTACTGAATTTCTTTTTATATAGAAGTTTTCAAGTACAAACTATTTTACTTGATGATAAGCATTTTCTATGTAAATGGATATATATTCCTTAGAATTCATTATTTTCAAATTTGATGAGTAGCTGTTCGTTCGAGATTATAATCTTTTTGTTTGTTATAAGATAAGAATGAGATTCATATCATGTTTACATAGTGTCGTTTCCCATCCAATGTGTTTTGAGGTTATATAAAAGTTAAAGTTTTAGGGAAATGAAATTGTGTGTTTACAACTAGAAAACTTTGCAGAGGAAAGTTTGTTTTAAGTATAATCTAACAATACTTAAAAGAAAAGTGTGCTAATTTTGATAGAAATTGTAAAAGATGAATCACTTTCGAGATTCATGACACTGAGTAAATGCGTTAGCTAACCTTTGTACTAATCACCTGGTTTATTCTCTTGACGAGGTACAAAATATCGTATAAAACTTAAGGATACAGAAGATGAAATAAATTGACAGTCTATTTACAAATTAAGACTGTTTACAAAATCTTCACAAACTTTTCAGTCAGCTTAACAAAAGTCAAACAATTCAATCGATTGAATTTTTCAGCCATTCATACGCCAATCTTCAACGAAAATTTTACTATATAATTCCAAACTTAGAAACACGTATTGATTTTTTTGTTTTATATATTCGTAGTTTATGTAATTCACTTAAACTCAGATTTTGAAATATTCTGGATTTAGCACATGCATATAGACTCATCTTTTCAATTTTCTCTTGTGTATTCATTGAATAATTCTATTCTTTTTGATTTATTTACTTATTCTAGCTGAACAGTTTTGTATTTCACGATTATACGTGTGTATTCATGTAATATTCTCATAATTATTTGCTTGTTTTAATAAATAATACGAGATGAATCGTCAAAACTGAACTTGATATTCATATTAAGTTACCAATAATTTCACGAATATCGATTAATTGCCAGAAAACAAGAGATACAAATTAATCTATATCACAGATATACAGATCATTTTATTTTCATTGAAATTACATATCCAAAAATAATAATCATTCTACTGATTCGAACGATTTTACTTCATAACAGAGTATACAAATATTTTCAGCTAGATACCGATAAAATTGTAATCATGCTTCAATGATTTACATGAAAACAAATGATTAGTTTCGGGGGTTGTCTTTTTTAATCCCTAGGCTCGTTTTCATTGATGTGTCTAAATAACGTGTACTGATCTCACTGGCTACTTACATATAAGCCTATTCATTCGCAACGGAAAAACAGAAACATTTTTCTTGTTTACAATTTTCATATCCCTCTCTCTCTCTCTCTCTCAGCCCCGGGGGTGTGCGTATGTATAAAACAACGAGAAAATCAACATATTCTTACAAATATCAATCGATCGTCAAAATTAACACAAGTTATTTGCTTGATCGAATAGCAGCTCACGAAAATGGTTTATAGCAATGGCGCTGTCTATCTTTTGGTTTTAACTGCAATTATTGCAATAAACATTACACCATCAGCCAGTTATGCTTGTGGTCCTGGCAACTGCAATTGCAAGACCTGTGAAAGTCAAACATGTTATCGTGGTTCTACAGCTGCCGGCTGCACAGATAAAAACGGACTCGGTTGTTGCTCTTCTTGTTGTATTGCTGTTATTCCACGTCGTGATGGCATTTATTATGGTCCTTATTACCCAAATACTAAGTCAGGAATGTATTGTCCAGATAATCAACTTGCTAATCCAGTTGATAGCTACATGCTCTCAGACAGTGGTTGTAATAAAGCTTACTGTCCAACACCTGGCAGTTACTGCCTTTGGCCTGGTGCAACACAGACCAAAATAAAACGTACCTTCACTGACAAATTGGCTTATTTCCGTCGTACTCTTAATAGCGCTCTTGACAATGACAACAGCGACGATGAAGATCGTAAATAAAGCAGGTAGAGTATCTTAGCCTACTGTTCTAATGTTCTTCATTCTTCGATGATTGTTTGATATTTTCATTTAATGTAATTTCTAATAGACAATTTCATTCGTATTTTTCTTTTCGGGCTTTATCATACAAACATTCAATAGCCAAGACATTGACATTCGTACTAATACTCTTTTGTAACTAACAAATTTTATGCATTATGTTTTCATTCGGTATATTAATATACTTTAGCAGCTTTTTCCGCATTTTCACTTCATTATTTACTCTCTACACTTTCCGCTTAATTTTTCATTTGAATAAAAGGATCATCTAACATGCATATTTTTGTTTTTTCTTATAAACGAATGTAAATAATTCATTATAATCAAAAAATAAGTGAAAAGAAGAAAACCAAAACATGTGCAATCAGAAATAATAGATAAATGAATCAAAGGAAGACTCTCAAATTATGCATCTTCCGTGTTCGAGTATCCTTCAAACAAAAACAAAACCTCAAGTTTTTATTCCGTATTCTCTGTTCACATACCACACCAACTTTCTTGACTGGTTGTGTTGAAATAGATCGTTTATGAAACTATTTACATCGAGAAATGAACAAATCTTCCCATTTTTTTTTCTCATTTAATGTAAAGAATGAACAAAACTCATACATAAACACAAATGATAATAATTTGAAAAGAAAAACGATATCCTGAGAAAAGAGAAGAAAAAGAATTTATCATTTCATTGCCATATGTAAAATAAAATACAAATCAAAACTGTCACAATTACAATTACAACATTGCTACAAAACTTAATTTATGATGAACTAGAATTTGATCGTGTTGCATCGATCTGTCGTTTAAAATAATGTGCAATATCAGATATATTTGGTCGTTTTGTTCCTTCAATATGCCAACATTCGCATAATAAATCATAAATTTCTTTAGGACAATCTGCTGGAACAGATAAATTGAATGATGTGTCATTTTTCGCATCTTTTTCTCGTATAAGAAGACGTTGGTGTAGTTCTTCATTTCTTAATGATACATATGGCAAATATGAACATCGCGACCAGATTTCCCACAAAGTAACTGCAAATGAATATACATCCGATTTTGTTGTTGTTTTCATCTACAAATCAAACAAACAAACAAAAAACAACTATGAATTTTTCATTAATAAGATATAATTTACTGTTAATGCTTCTGGTGCCATCCATCTCAATGGTATTAACTGTCCATTCGTTCCCATCCAATATTCATGTTGATATTGTGGTAAAGCCATTGCACAATCTGTTAATTTAATTGTATAATCAGCATAGAACAGACAATTTCGTGTTGCAACATCTCCATGAATGAGATTTAACTGTGATAAATACTGAAGTGCATTTGCTAATTGATACGCAAAAAACATATTCATCCTAAAATCAACAGAATGGAAGATTAATCGCTATGAAATCTTCTCGATTATTCATACTTTTGAAAGGTCGCATCATTTGTTTGATGATTTGATAGTGTATGAAAATAATCTTGTAAACTTCCGAAATGTGAATGTTCTTGAACAAGATAAAGAGATTTGAGTTGTGCTCCATATAAACATGCCAAATTTTGATGATTTAACCGTGCTAAAATGTCCATTTCGTTGAGAAAAGTTTGTCTAAATATGAAACATGTAAATCGTTGTTGAATTTTCGAATTAAATCTCTACCGTGATGAATGAATTGAGTTCGATTTGACTATTTTGATCAACACACATTTTGGTTCGTTATTGATGAAATAATTTCCGAAATAAATTTCTCCGTTGACAGTTTCCGAGACTTTTCGAATGGCAATCAATTTCGATTCATCAATTATGATCGGAGGTGAATGAGAACATGTCGATGAAAGAATTTCTCGCGGAATAATACAATTAAATAAGCTCAAATGTTGATTATAGTACACTTTTTCGATTTGTTCAATATCAGATGATGCATAATGAAATGTCTTAACGAACAAAAAACAACAACAACAATCTTAAATAAAAATTATTCATCTAAAATTTCTTACATTAGTGTTTGACCATTGTTTATAAGTACTTGAAGAATAATTTCCATCAATTACAGCATATTGTTCTCCTTGAAATACCGATGATGATGGTGTAGTTTGTAGTAAAGATGTTGTTGATGTTATTGGATAAATATACGAACCCATAGATTGTTTTTCACTAGTCATATCATCGTATTTACCAGATAAAAACATTTGAGTGATCTTCTGAGATACAGGTAATGTACTTCCATCGTGTTCACTCGAAGTTGATGTACATGATCCACTTGTTGTAGTTGTCATTTGAGAGGATTTGTAATAGAGATTACTATCTTGTCGTAGACGATGATGAGAACGTCGTCGGAGACGATATTGACGAATTCGATACAAAATAAGTAGTAGAAGAAGAAAAAAGCCGAAGAGAAGAATGGAAATAATAACGATTGTTAACCATTCGAATTTAAAAATCAGCAATGTTGATGTTGCATAAGTTGAACTGTGAAGAATTACTAAACATAAATAAAACTATTTTTTGATTGAATAGATAAATCTTTTGTTTACTTGTCGAACAATTTGTCGTGTTTTGCATTATGAATGATACTGGTTCGTTGTCGAAAGTAATTTCTGTAAGAAAAAGTAATTGAGTGTGACTGAACTCAAATTTCATATGTAATTTTTTTCCAATAAACTCATTTCCATATTGATTCAATTGAATTTTATCAAAAAATACTGTAGACAAAGAAGATTCCATCGATGATACGCGATGTTTCACTACACGATTATCATCAAATTTCATTTCAACAGATTCATATTTTTGATTCATTGTATAGATTTGTATTGTCTTAAAATGCCGTGTCATATCAAAATCGAATTCAATTATAACAGGCGATCTATTCCAACTAATCCAATGATTTTCATCACCACCAATAATTCCATCAGTCAATTTTCCAATTCCACCTAATTGAATACAATTCAATCCAACGAAAAAATCTATCGAATAAAAGATTTTACCATCATATGTGTGATCTTTATCAACACTTGGTGAAGTTGTATAAGAAGTCACACCACCTAAATATGATCATTAGAAATTATAAAGATTGATGTCAATGATTTTTACCATAGTAAGGACATCCGTAGAGTTCAACTCGCATACAAACAGTTCGCCAACGTTTGCTCTGAGGAATAATTCGAACGCGTTTCGCGAGAAATGGTGAAGAAAGTGAACGTTTCTCTGCAACATATGTATTAGTGTTTCCTTTGAGCATCTTGAAAAAGCAAAATCAGGTTTTTATAGAAGAAAAATGATGATTTACGGTGTCATTTGTAATTTGATTTCGATAAGTAAGCCAACCCAATGATTGATTATCTCGTTGGTATTGAATTCGATAGAATTCTGCAAATTCTCTACCTTGTCCATTGCCAAATCGACCTTGTGTTTCGATCGAATTTATAAAAAATAATTGCGATAATTCAATTTCAAGATATTCATATGAATTGATTCCAATTGGTTTGTCCGGACACCATGCTCCACCTTCAATTTCACTTCGAATCCTATTTGAAAAGAATTTTTACTAAGGTTTCATTCATTTGCCTTCGTTTTCTTACCTTGCCATTTGTGCACCAACACTACTCGCATCATGTGTTGAACTTGAACTCAAATCATTATCAGTAATTGTACCTGATTCCATCCCCAATGGCGCATCACAATGTTCTGAAAAATGAGAGACATGCAAACATGTATAATTAACCTTTTTGCACGTATTTACCATATTCAGGCAAGAGTAAATTCGATGAAACATTAATAATAAGAATTGCAAGCAATAGAAAACATCTGGGATTCATCTGAAATGGAATTGAACACATCTGATAGATCTAAAATCAGAAAGAAACATTTCGAAATCATCAATCTAGTGTGATAATATACACATATCAATGACTAA